TGGAACCAGGGATTGAACTCAGGCCCTTGCCCTTGCTAGGCAAGTGCTTAATCTACTGAGCCATCTCCCTGGTCAACTCTGAGGCTTTGTCAATGTATGCAACTAGAGACTGTAGTCATAAGTGAAATAAATCAGACATGCATGTGCAAACATCATATTGTTTCACTAGTGTAAGAGACTGAAAGAGTAAGTAAAATCTAAAAGATACAATTGATACTGTGAAAGGCAAAGAATCTGTTCAAGGGAAGGAAAAACTGCAATGAGGAAAAGCATTGAGGAGGAGGGGGATTGAAGAGATATATTTATGTATGTATACAGGATGGTTTGGATAATCATACTGATGATTTCTGTTGCTCTACAGAGGGCAGAAGTTAATATTTAATTTTTTTTCTTGTCCTTTTTAGTCTATTATAACTTTTCCTATTTATTTATTTATTTTTCCAATTTTGCATGCTTATATCTGGTAATCTGAACAATTAATTTGAAGATAAAATTATGCAATATAGCAACCATTGTCAAAAATGCCTCCTTGTTTTGTAAATTTTTTTAAAGTAAAGTTTACTGAAAAACAACTGCACAGCCACTTCATGGTGACAAAAAAAAAAAAAAAAACAAAAAAAAAAACAAAAAAACATCATACACAAGAGTATTAAACTATGTAGTAGTGATGAATTTTATCACAAAATTATTACATATTAGATCAGCTTTTTGAAAATTGTAATCCTTAAATATTTCACCTTCAAATGTATTTTTGAAATCTTCACTTTTCCTGTAATATTTTCTATATATAGTTCTTGCAATTTTGTAGAGAGATTTATGAAAAATTCCTCTTTAAAACAAAAAAAAAAGATTGTTCTCCTTATCATAGGGAGATTGGAAGTTGTGGAGTTGAAGGAATGGTAGTATGTTTAGGATTTGTTTGTGGGGTGTACTTAGCAAGATTGTTATTAGATCAGTGATAGAAATGACCAAAGAACTTGAAAACTAAGAGATAGTGCTATATTTAACTTTCAGTGATTATGATTTGGGATATGTGGTATGGTGATGGCAGAGATGTAAAATAAGTAATTACTCTTAAGAACTGAACGAAGACATTCTCAGTTGACAGTTAGAAGCTGGCCACAGAGGCATAAAGATGGGAATGATTATTGTTTCAATTGTGATTTTAGAGTGATTGATCTGGAAGAGCTCAGACTGAGAGGAAGCTATAAAAACCCTTCCGTCCACAGCTATAGTACAGAAGGAGGAGCTTAAAAGGAAAGAAGTCTTAGCAGTAGCACTCGCTGAAACTGGAGAAAAACCAGGAAGGCAACCCATCATGGAGCTAAGAAAAAAAACTCCATTTGTGCTGAATGTTACTGAAAAGTCAGATAAGAAACACATGAGGCGAATGGCTGAAATATAATAGAGGGAAAATAAACAGAGTGACTGAGTCAGGCAGTGGAATCTGGGCTAGGAAGGGAAGGAAGAGATGAAGGAGGTGGCAGTGTGATGGACCAGTAGGCAGTGGCAGGCCTTAGGTGTGAGAGTGTGAGTATTCAGATAGCTGAGCTACAAGTGCTGGTAGTAGAGGTGTGTGCAGACAGGGACTAATGCTGTTGAGATCAAGGTCTGATTGGGATCACAGTGAGAGGGAAGACTGACACTGGGAGACGGCCAGGCAAGATGGAAAACATGTGGTCGATGGAGGCATTGAAATTACCAAGGTGTCAAACCTGAGTACAAAGAAAGCCAGGGTGAAAGCGTTCAGCAACTTGCGAAGTGCTTTTTTTTTTTTAGGTACCAGAAATTGAACTCAGGACCTTGTGTCTGCCAAGCAAGTGCTTATCCTACTGAGCTATCTCCCCAGCCCCTGCCCAAGCGTATTTATTTTTTTGGTGGTATGGGGGATTGAACCCAGGGCCATCACACTGAGCTGTATTATCAGCTGTTTGTCTTTATTTGAAACAAAGTCTTAAAAAGTTGCAATTTCCCTGTCTGAGCTCACACTCACGGTCTCCTATTTCAGCTTTCTCAAGTGCTGGGATTATAGGCCTGAACCATCCTGTCTGGGGTTTTCATCCCCTTTCTAACTTTTTTTAAATTTTGCACTTTGCTAGTAACCTTTGTCTTATTCTTTGCTTTTGTGTAATACTTTCTTCTTCTAGATTATTTCCATGAAAATACCGTTGCCATCTTCTGTAGCATAAAGTACATGTTTTTAAATATTATTTTGCATTGGGGGAGGGGGGAATAAAAAAAATATTTTGCATTGAGTATGAGATGAAAGTGAAAGGGGGTTCTCTGGATCAAGCACAGAACTGATTCCTGAGGACAGATATACCAAAAGGTAAAGGTTTATTTTGAAAACCATGCTTCGGATAAGTCATACACATACAACAAAAATATAGAAACAGTCAAAATTTATTTTCAGAAATGATGTTTCAATTCTTAAATAGTATAAAAATAAACAGATGTTTGTTTCAAGACATATTTGACATAAGTTAAAATATACATTTGTTTGAGGCACTGAGACATTCACATGCACAACCTAAATTTCTGGCATCAGTCAGCAGGTTGATGTTAGTAACAATTAAGTTGTTTTCTTTCTTTCTTTGTCCAGAAATAAAGTAAAAAATTTTAAAAAATGATAAAGCCAGGCATGATGGCCCCTGCCTGTAACCCCAGCACTCAAGAGGCTGAGGTGAGCGGCTCACTAAGAGTTCAAGGCCAGCCTCGGCTACAGTGAGTTTAAAGGAGTCTGAACTGTATAAGGCTCTATTGTTTAAAAAATATTTTTAAAATAGTGAACAGCTTTTTAACAGGAGTTTTAAAATATTGACTATTTCTTAACCTTAAATCTTCTAAACATAAAATCTTAAACATTTTCCTGAGTTATTTCTCTTTAGTAATTGATTGCCTTTTCTTCCACTTGGAGACATATTTTCAGTGAAAATATTGATGTTATCTGTGGTCAGTGCTTGATTTAAAAATGTTAAAACTGAATATATTCTTAATAAATTATGATTGAATGAACCAAGGGAGCACCCAAACATCCTTCAAAAGTGAACAAAAGGTCATTTTATGGCATATTCTTCATAAAGGTCTTTATGGATTGTCCAGGTGAGACAATGTCCTTTGTGTCTATCATATAAGTAAATCCTAACAATGTCAATTCTAAGATTAAAAATCTCAATATACTGCAATCATTTTCCTAAAAATTTACTCACAAATCTTATTTCAATCATTTCTCTTGGATTGTGCACATAACTCAGCGAGGTAATCATGAAAAGCTATGATTCTGACATAATTAAAAAATGATTTCAGGCTTAAATATTTACAACAGTAATGTCCTAATAAAATATAAATAATAACCCTCAATAAATTACAGAAAGGTACAGTACCATGAATTGTCAGTTAACAATGAGATGCAGAAAGTTATCATTACTTTGCTTTATGATTATTGCTCAGGACTAGTCACTAATTATTTGCTTTTATGTTCAAATAAGAGAGGGTACTCTTTAGAACAGGAGTATAGCTTTCTCCCTGGCAAAAACATCCTACAGTTTTTCTAAGGTACCAGCCTCTTTGAAAGGTCCTTGATTAAAGATAAAATTCATAAGAGAATTCTCTCCTTTCATTTAAAATAGGTGAACTGTGAACAAAAGGATTTTCTTTCATTCTTCCTAAGAGGAAGTAAACAGTAGCCCTGAGCTGAGGTTTGCCTGAAAATGTGCAAAAATTCAAGTAGGAACCTATTAAAGAGTTCAAAGACTGAGGAATTCTGATCTTAAAATCAGGAAAACAAAAGAAACGGATGAGTTCTAACAAATTAGCTCAAAAAAAAAAAAAAAAAAAAAAAAAAAGAGCAGCATGAAGGTAGTCTGGTTTGATTTCAAATGCATATTAAATTGACTTATTTAGATAACAATGTATGAAATAGATTTAAACATTTTGAAGAGACTTTTCATAAGGCCATTTCTATTCTTTGCACTGAGATATGGACATCTAATTCATACTGTTTTTCAGAAAATCTAGGAGAATGGATCATTATCCTCAGTAATTCACTAACCCTTCTTTTTTGAGATGGGGTCTCACTCGGTACTTCAGGATGGCCTTGGACTCATGGCAATCCTCCTGCCAAAGTCTCCCAAATGCTGGGATGTCAGGCATGTGCCATTATGCCTGGCAATTCATTAACTTCACAGCAAAATCTGCCAGGTGCCAGGGCTGGAGAATACAAGGATATAGTAGAGTCTCCTTCAAGTGTTTAAATCCATATTTGAACTTTAAGGACCCAGGAGATAGCTCAGTAGAATAAGCGCTTGCCTGACAAGCACATGGGCCTGAGTTCAATGCCCAGTTCCACCAAAAAAAAAAAAAAAAAAAAAAAAAACTTTAATTTGGTTTCTTCTTTGTTTTCAGAGAAGGATCTTTTGCTTTTACAGATTTTCTTATTAGTCACATGAACTCTGGAATCTCTTTACATACAATAGTCTGAAAACTTCCAATTACTGTTTCAAGTCTATTTAAAAAAATATAAAACTACAGGCAGCCTATGCTTCAAACATTCATTGCAATTAAATGTCCAGCATTTAAAATTCCTTGACCTTATTTGTTTCTGATGCACTGGACATGATGACAGTGTAGAAATGTGCAGCATTTTGCTATTATGTAACAGCATTAAAGTGTTCAAACATCTTTGCTTTGATTCTATTACAATATAATATAAATTGAAATTCAAGTAAAAAGATGTCAACACTCATTTCCCATCGGTTTATACAAGAGACTAAATACTACGGCCTACTTGAACTTGAAATAAATACACCTTGAAAGTAATATCACAGGAATTTTCACAAATATGACACTTTTCAATGCAGCAAGTATACTGCCTTCTGTTACACAAGATGTTAAAGTAACATAAGGCACTTCATATAAATATTAAATAAGTTAAAGAAAATGATTCTTATAAATAAATAAATATGCTTGACTGATTCCTACAGCTCTGTTGAACGTCCTTTTAGTAGTACAGTGGGGTTGAGGTCATCCAGTTTGGAGTGGGAGGCACTCGCGTTAATGGTGACTGTTTTGGCAAGTTGCGGGTCTGGAACATTGAAGGACGTGAAAGGACAGCCCTTCACATTTCTGCAGATCAGGGACTGAATGGAGGCTGTGTTGATGATCTCAAAACCCACTTCTCCTCCAAAAGTACTTGGTTTCCAGTACTGTGGCGAGCATATAGGGTTACCCAGGAGTCCTTTCAAGGAGAATGGTGCTCCCATCTCTACCATCGTCTCACCAAAGATAGCATCTGGTCGAGGCTTTTCCACCAGAAGGGCAGGATACAGCTCCACAGCATCAATGTCACCGTACAGGGCTTCCAACTCGCCAGCCATTTCCTTCTCTCCTGGGAAGGTGATGAAGACAGAAATATAACCAATGTAGAACTTGACAAGAAAATATACTTGTATTTCCTCACTGAGCTTGTTTTCAGCTTCTCCATTGTCACTGTTTGACCCTTGATTCTCCCAAGAAGGATAGAAACTGATTCTTACCAGTAAGTTCTTCAAATGATGAGTAGGGCTGCATGTTGAAGCGTTTGCGGTACTCATTCAGAGACTGGTATTTCATTTTTCTGCTGTGCTCAATTGAAGCCTTTGCCACCTTTTGTACTGCAAGTGGAACATTCCTACCACCAGCGACCTGTGGAAAATGAAAGTTGTGTAAAGCAGGGCTGTTAGGCACATTTTTCTCTATAATGTACAAAGAAGGTAAGAGACCTAAACTATTTTTTCTTTCTTGGGCAGATTGCTTACATATATTTCAACAGAAGGCTTACTATAAGATTCAATGGGACACTACTCCATTGTCACAGAAATTTAAATTTAAAATTTATTTATTTATTTTATTTATTTATTTATTTATTTGGAACTGGGGATTGAATTCAGACCCTTGTGCTTGCCAGGGAAGCGCTTATTCCACTGAGCCATCTCCCCGGCCCCATAATTTCTTTTAAAATAAAAAAGCCCATCTGATGCTCAAGTCTAAAATAATTTCTTCTAATTACACTATTTCTATTATGAAATATAATTTCCACAATAAGAGTATTTACAGTTTTTTGGGGGTTTTTTTTGGTGGAAGAAGAGTATATGCAGTTTTTGAAAATGCATATTTTTAAGCTATGACATGTATCATTACTTGACAACTATAATCTAAAACATGAGAATTTTACAAAACAATTTAGGCTTCTTGTTTCAAGAGATTAAGCAAAATTTCTTTGAGGGCTTTAAGAAAAACAATTTCTGCAGTACAAATTCTGAGTCAGTGGCCCATCTTCTGCTTTACTTTTCAGTAACAATCCTTACCCTGCCAGCAATTTGCTTGGTGAATGATTCCACAAACTGGGTAAGTCCATGTTCCAATAATATAGAGTTGTTGAAGAGAAATTGCTGAAAGTCATACTCTTGGTCATCAATTTGGAAGGTGTCGGGCAGAAGGGGATGCCAGTGATAGAGCGTGTTGAACTCGGACGCAATGCGGTTCTGGTACTGGAACTGCTGGCTGAAGAGCAGCTCTGGGTCAAACTTCAGCTTGAAGTGATATCCGCTCAAGTGCTGCACATAGTCTTCAATCACGATCTTAATAGTTTCTCCTATACACACGCGGGGAAGAAAGAGAAGCTTCAACTCACCCCCGTCATAAATTTTCAATCAACGGAAATTCATTGATGAATTGTGCCCGGTGCAGCGAATTAATAGTGCATTTTCTTATTCACATTTCTCTCCAAGTTACTCAAAACGTAGTGAAAACAGCACATTAGTTTTCTCTGGGGGAGAGGTTTTTATTTCTTATTTATATATTGGTACAGGATCTCACTATGCAGCTTGGACTCAGTGATCCTCCTGTCCCAGCCTCCCCCGTGCTGGGATTACATGCGTGTGCCCTCATGCCAGTTTTGGTGGCGGGCAAGGGATGCAGTACTAAGAATCAAACTCGGGTTCTTGCGCTTGCCAGGCAGGCGCTGATGCCACCAAGCTATCTTGCCAGTCCACGAGAGGGTTTTCTCTCAGTTACTGTCTCTTCTTACCTATCAGTATGAGCCTGCTTGTCTGGAATAAGCGCTCATCATCCCACTCCGGATGTTCCTGCTTAAGCACGTCACACACTCTGTTGTGTTCCCGCAGCCAGATGGTGGCATACATCATCAGACCGGGCACGAGGCCAAAGACCTCCTGGCCCACCGCGAAGCGCGCATGCTCGGGGACATGGGCTGGGTAGATCATCTCTACTTGGGTGTCTTTGGTGGTGGGAGGGTACATCTCCCCATCAATTATCTAAAAAGTAATGGTAAGCCGCAACAAAGTTTAAAAATGTTTCATCACCAGTGATTCTGAAATCTCACTCTGGGTGGGAGGTTATAACTACTTCTTAATAAATCAAAGGCACACACCTGATATTTCATTTTTCCGTCCTTGAAAAGGCGCAGTTTATGCTGTCTATCCAGAGCTTCACCATAAACATGACTTAAGTCCACCTAGAAAATTATTGTAAAACTTCAGTTTGTTGCTGTTTAACAAGTGTCTTACAGAATTTCATCTTTAAGTTATGGTTCAGCTTTAAAATTGTCAATAAAACAATTTTATAGCACTAAAATGCTGTTTATTTACCAAAGCTACAAGCTCTTGTATTTAAATGTATTCGTATCTCTTATAGACTGTGAGTTTGTCATATGCTTCACTATAATCAAAATAGCAGTAGGCAGCTGGGTGTGGTGAGGCCCTCCTATAATCCTAGCACTCAGGAAGCTGAAGCAGGAGGATTACAGTGGGTTTGAGGTCAACCTGAGCTACACAGTGAGTTCAAGGCCAGCCTGAATATAGTTGAGACCCTGTCTCAAAAAATAATTACAAAAGTATTAAAGCTATCTTATTGGATTCAAATTAAAATTTGAAGCTATGCTATTGAAATCTAAGAAATAGTAATAGAAAAAAATCTCACATTTAAAGCTGCATAATCACTGTGCAGATGTTTTAGAAGAAAAAAGTACAATAGAAAACCTCTATGTAGGTACATAGCTACACATATACATTTTGGTTAAACCAGTACATAAAAATGGAAAACCTACTAAGGTTTTTATAGACCCAGCTTTTTTTTAAAACTGAGAGTAAATTATTTGGTAGGGCAAAAATGGAGCCTTTCACTATGATTTGCTGTAATTCTGCTGTGACTCCGGCTTACCCCATGGGCCAGGCCTGTGGTGAAAGCCGGTCCTCGTTTTTGATCAGACTTGAAAAACTGATGGGTGAAATGCTGGGCGAAGAAAGCGAACATCATGTTTGTGCCTTGCGGGTCAGGGATGAACTTCCTTCTTAGAAGAACTTTTTCCAGAATCTCATTTGAATCGGGAAGCTCCTTCTTCCCTAAAAATGAGAAGGCAAAGGTAAAAATCCATCTCTCCCTTCAAGGAAGGAGGGAGGGGCACTCACTTATAAGACTAACACAGTCCCAAGCAGGGTTCTGAGATAGGTGGCAGTAGTGTTAAGAGTATAGTAGGTTGAGTCGCTGCATATAGAGGTTCACATTATTGTCAGGAACTCAGGGGAGCACAGAAGCAACGAAATGGTTTTCTCCACTTTATCTAGCATTATTCCAATTTTAATGAGATACTTTTGTGCATATATATTTGCATTTGTGAATATTCATAACAAAAGAAAAAACTATGCTGGTGCTAACAAATAAATGGTCGTTGAAGGTAAATGTTCTTTCAGCAGGGGTTTCTCCATGGCTGACCCTGTCTTCTTACTCACCCTTCACACCCATGGGAGTGGGGCAGTCGTCGGGCACAGGAGGAAGTGCTCGGGTGTAGTAGGAGAGGTTAGAGAAGGCTTCCCAGCTTTTGTAGCTATAATCTGCGTTGTAAGTCGGTGGACTGTCAATCAAATGTGACCTGGCTGAAATGTTCAAGGGAAAAACTTGTTTTATTGGTACTTCTATGCACCACAAATCACTGTGTATTTTTATTGTAAAAAAATACGAAATGGCATAAACGTTGAATTAAATTCCAACAAACATACTCCATTTCATCAAAGCATGGGAGGGCATGCCTGTAATTTCAACACTGGGTAAAGAGAAAGGAGCGCCACCAGTTCAAGGACAGCCTGTGCTACCTAGCAAATTAAGGCTAGTCTGGGCTCCTCAGTGAGACCCAAGATTTTCTATTTCAGAATGACTACACAGAAAAGTGTGACTGCCGGGCCAGGGAGATAGATCCTTAGAACAAGCGCTTGCCTGGCAAATGCAAGGTCCTGAGTTCAATCCCCAGTATCACACACACACAAAAGTGTAATTGCCACAGAAAGTGCATCCTCAATACGATATATATTGCATCACACAGCACATCGTGCTCCAGCTAACTGACTTCTCAGATACTGTTCAGTCACTGCTGGAGAGGCTCATGACAGGAAGAACGGAGAACTGTTAAGAGGTAATTTTGCTTTAAACCCACGTTAAACATGTAAAAGGCCACTTAGTGTATGCAGAATCCCAGTGCTCTGGGAAACTGAGACACAAGGATTGCAAATTCTAGCACAACCTGCACAACTTAACAAGATCTTATCTTAAAATAAAAAGCAAAAACAAACAAAAAAATCTAGGGATGTGACCCATAAGTGGAGCACACTTTCTTCTCAAATTGGCTGCAGTGTGGATGGTTAGAACACTGCAGGGTTGGAGTAGAATTCTGACCATGGGACAGAACTATATAAATTAGATAAGGTTAAATATGTCAATATTTTTTGACTTTAAAATAGAGGGCACATGAAGAAATGTTATACTTGTACTTACATGTCAGCACATATTTCATGATTGAATTTCGCAGGAAGGGAATGTTGTTGACGATGTTCCAGACGCCCTTGAAGTGGGTAAGTATGTAGTGCACTGTATTTGGAGTGGGCTTCAGCAGTAATTTAATTCTTGTTAGAAATTCAGCTGCAAGGAGAGAGGGGAAAGAGAAGTCACTCAGTCTTGTCATGAAGACACACCTCGAGAAATGTCAACTGTGGCTCCGTTCCCAAGGAGGAGACCCAAGAAAACCCACTTACGCGTGGTGCAGTTTTCACCATAGAAGCCCGTCCGAGTGCAGTCGCACTTATACCGGTCAAATCCAACAGTCAGACACTCCCCTCGGTTTTGACAAGGGTTGGAACAGCAAGGATTGGCTATAATGAAAATGAGCAGTCATTCTTCGGTCTTAAACTTGACACAGCACATTTGATTGTTTTACTAACCATTCGTCAATCATGGGGCAGAAACCTTTTAAAACTCTATTCACAGTTTGTTTAAATTGTGGAAATAACAATTTCCTGTTCTGAAGTAAGAGTAACAGACTTTTCAAGCTGATAATACATTACTAAGGCTGTTCATAGATAACTTTTTATCTGTTCAAAATACCATTTTAAAGTTCAAATAAGTAGCAAATGAAAACAGACGAGTTTAGAACAGTAAGCAGAATGTCAGAAAAACTTCTCAGTAAAATCAGTTCAGTTTCAAAAATTCTTATCTTTAGAGAGTAACCTGGATTTTCTGTCATTTAAAGCAATTCGATAGCAATTCGATAGCAACAGGTATCACATTCGCACATGTCACATATATCGATCGGATCCTGTCTTATTATAACCATGAAAATTACCACTATTCTGTTAGCGGGCGAGAGGAAGTCTCAGGCCTGCGAAACGAGCGGTCCAGGAGGAGCTCAGCTGCGGGGCTCCCCTGCACTGCGCTCCCAGC